GGGGGGGTGGTTCAAGGGCCCAGTGCAAAGGCCTGTGAGGTCGAAGCGTGTGGGTATGCCCTGGTGCAAGGGTGTGCGAGGTGGCGGTGTGAGCATGTGTGAGGCCCTGGTGCAAGCATGTGCAAAGGCATGTTGCAAGGGCAGGAGATATCATGGTACAAGACTATGGAAGACCCCAGTGTGAGGGCATGCAAAGGCCTGGTGCAAGGCTGCGGTGTGAGCGTGTTTTGCGGTACAGGCTGACACAGCTGGCGGTGGACGCGGGCGCGGGGCCACGGGGGAACCACACCGTGCTTTTCCTGGGTGCCGAGGACGGGCGGGTGCTGAAGGTGCTGGCAGCGCCACGAGACCCTGCTGACGTGCCAGAGCCCGGTGACACCCGGGAGGCTGGTGACACCCGGGAGCTCGGCTCTGAGGCACTGCTGCTGGAGGAAATCAGCCTCTATGACCCCGGGCGGTGAGGCCTGGACGCCTGGGTCCTTGGAACAGAAGAGGGGGCATGATGGGGCGGGGATGCTAGGGTGTGGGAAGAGCCCATTCCTGTTTTGGGGGGGTTCCATCCTGGTGCCATGGGGCCTGATGGGTGCCGTGGGGCCCTCCTGATGGGTGCTGTGGGGCCATGCAGGTGCCATGGGGAGCTGGTGGGGGCTGTGGGGCCTCATGGGTGCTGTGGGGTGCTGATGTGGGGTGCCATGGAGGGCTGAGGGGGGGGCCATGGCATGCTCATGGGTGCTGTGGGACACTAGTGGGTGCTGTGGGGCACTGGCAGGTGCCATGGGGCCATGTGGGTGCTGTGGGGTGCTTATGGGTGCCGCAGGGGCTGATGGGTGCCATGGGGCACTGCTGGGCGTCATGGGGCTCTGAAGGGTACCTTGGGGTACTGATAGGTGCCATGGGGCCATGCGGGGGTTGTGGGGCACTGATGGGTGCTGTGGGGCACTGGTGGGTACTATGGGGTCATGTGAGTGCCATGGGGTGCTGACAGGAGTGGTGTCGGGTGCAGGTGCCGGGGGCCACGGGGCGCCAGCCGGGTGCTGGGCCTGGAGCT